CTTAGATCTCGTGACCGTTGACCCTGGGCACTAGTGACCCTTAGATCTCGTGACCGTCGACCCTGGGCACTTGTGATTCTTAGATCTCGTGACCGTCAGCCCTGGGCACTTGTGAGCCTTAGATCTTGTGACCGTCGACCCTGGGCACATGTGACGCTTAGATCTCGTGACCGTCGACCCTGGGCACTTGTGACCCTTCGATCTTGGCCGGGCAATTGCTCTGAGGAGCGCCTTCTTCCCTGGCCTGACTAATCTAGTAGTTCTCTCGTTTGCTTGCTGGGGAGGAGCTGGGCTGACACTGTTGGGCCAGCGTGGCTGATTTTTGCAATGACTGTTCTATGACAGCTTTGACGTGGTCTGTGTACTGAGTCATGTTCTGGAAAGCACCTCTCAGCGTCCAGAGCACGGTCACCTGAATGCCCGTTAGGGAGCTGTTGGGGTTCCGGTACCTTCCACGTCTGATCTGCTCCTCCTGTTCCAGATTCCCTGCCAGATGCTCTCCGAGGAAGACATCTGTCCCCAGCTGTCCATGCCCAGAGCCAGGAAACCGAGAAGGGGCGACTCTGGGGGCTGCTTCTGACGGGCGTGGTGGGCGGGACGCTGGTGGCGGTGTATGCAGTGGCCACCCCGTTCGTGGCGCCCGCCTTCCGCAGGATCTGCCTCCCTTTCGTCCCAGCGACCCCTCAGCAGGTGGACAATGTGTTGAGAACCTTACGTGGCAGGTGCGGGCCTCTGGCCGACGTGGGCAGCGGCGATGGACGCATTGTGAGTATTCCTTGGTGTGCTCCCGTCCTGTTTCTGTCTCCAAATGTGTCCACACCGGGCAGCGTGTCTTCCTGGGCCCTTGAGGTCGCCTTGGAGCTGCTGGACGGCTTCTTAACAGCCCTGACATGCGGGAGCACTGTCGATGAGGGTGGTCTGCACACTTGGCTGCTTCCTGAGCCGGCAGAGCTGAGGCCTCCCCGGGGGCCTCGGAAGAAAGACCTCGTGAGCAGGAGGAGGTGGGCCCAGGTCACCGGGACCTGGAGCGGTCTGGGGGCAGCGTCTGGCCCATTGCCGGGGAGCAAGGACAGAATTTCAGCAGTTCTGTGTTAGACCCTCCAGGGTTCGGTGTGTCTAGAGTTCATTTTGCAAGCACAAGCATCTGCTTTTGTGCTCCAGGTGAAATTTTGGTGAGATGAGAGAATTTACGTGGTTTGCCTGTTACGTCCTCCACAGCGCTGTAGACCCAGACGCTCCTGGTCTGCTAACAGTGGGTGTTTCTGTAGATAGGAAACGTCTGCAGAGCCATTGTAGATGGGGGTGTGGATATGGTGACACGCTGTTGGGCTGCACACAGCCGGTTCTGACTTGGAGCGACCCGAAACTCAGCAGAAAGAAACCCTGCCTGGGCCCGCCTGTTCTCTGCCGCTGTCCTCACCGTCCCTGCCGTGTAGGAGCCCATTGTCCTGTGACTGTCCTGCTGTGTGGAAGCCCGCTGTCCTGTTACTGTCCTGTCGCCGTCCTGCTGTGTGGGAGCCCGCTGTCCTGTGACTGTCCTGCCCTGTGGGAGCGTGTGGTCCTGTCCTTGTCCTCACCGTCCTGCTGTGTGAGAGCCCACTGTCCTGTGACTGTTCTCCCCGCCCCTGCCGTGTGGGAGCCCGTGTTTGCACCCCCGTAGCAGCACGTCTGGCTGAGGCTCTCTCTCTTCGCTGACTATCTGCTTTCCCAGCTTGAACGTGCTGGTCAGGAACGAGCCCTCCTGCTGACAGCCCAGCACACGCGAGGCGAGATGTCCCCTTACTTCTGAAGCACTCGCCTGTACTTCTCACCAGCACAGGCTTCTCGAGCCCCTGACAGTCCATCCGATAGTGTTTCCACTGTCGTAATCCAAGATGTCAGTTCTTCCATGTGAAAAAAAAAGAAGAAATATAAGAAATGACACAAGATAGAAAACAACTATGAAATACAGAATGTAAATATGCTTGTAAAACGAGATGTGTAACTACTCCTTTGCTGCTTTCAAGTTAGAAGTGCCCCGGAGCTGACCCTCCAGTGAGTGTCAGAGGCTGTAAATTGCATGGAGTTGAATGTCCATCTCTCTCCCATGGATTCAGACGGCCTGCCTTTGCTGTGACACTTTAGGCCATTTATCCCAAAAGAATGAAAAGAAAATAAGATGCAGAAGAAGTGAAGTGTAAAGGACAGAAGAGAGAGAAACCGTGTAACCTCTGCATTGTAGCATTCGGGCTTGTGAAGGGTGTTGCTGTGCTGTACAGCTGTCCTCATGTCTTGTTCCCCAAGTTCGCTGTCCCCCGACGGACCCCGTCCTCCCCACTTCACGCCCTCCTGGCCTGTAACGCTCGTGCCCCAGCTTCTGTGTGTTTGATGATCGGGGGGGGGGGTCTCCCATCAATAGGACTGTGCACTGTCTGGTCTCCTATACCCGCTTCTTCTCTGAGCTGAGGTGGACAGTGTTCATCAGTGCACGTCCGAGTGTGCAGCCCTCTGGGGAGGACCATGTGGTTATCCTCTGCTGACCAGCTCCAGGTCTTCTCTGTGGCCGAGTGGGCGGCCCTCTGGGGATGCCCTGTGATTGTCCATCATGTGCTGACCAGCTCCAGGTCTCAAGTGTGTCCCTGTGGGGATGCCCTGTGATTGTGTCATGTGCTGACCAGCTCCAGGTCTTCTCTGTGGCTGAGTGGGCGGCCCTCTGGGGAGAACCACATGATTGTCATCTGCTGACCAGTGCCAGGTCTTCTCTGTGGACTAATGTTTGTCCTTGTGGGATGCCCTGTGATTGCCCATCGTTTGCTGACTGGCTCCAGGTCTTCTCTGTGGCCGAGTGGGCGGCCCTCTGGGGAGAACCACACGATTGTCCATCATCAGCTGATGGGCACTGGGTACCGTGGGTGGGTCTCCCAGAGTCGTGCGTGAGTGTTTGGGCCCACATGCTTGGGTATGGCGTGGCCACTCTGTGAGTGGACATTGTAGGATGTGTTGACCACGTGGTCAGTGCTGACTGCATCTGACTGCCCACCGGCCTCTGTTTGTAGGTCATCGCGGCTGCCAAGATGGGCTTCCAAGCGGCCGGCTATGAACTCAACCCCTGGCTGGTGTGGTTCTCCAGATACCGCGCGTGGCGGGAGGGCGTGCACGGCTCCACCCGCTTTCACATCTCAGATCTGTGGAAGGTAAGCCGGGTGGGGCAGCCTGCTGGGGGTGCTGCTGTCCGTAATTAGCACGAGCCCAGGGCTGAGTCAGCAGTCAGCTCCACGCGCCCTTAGTCAGTGATGTCTCGTCACGGTGCTCACAGGCCCACCTGTGGGGGAGACGAGGCTGACGTCAGTGCTGCTCCAGGAGAAAGGCGGGCAGGCTCCTCCTGTGAAGGTCGCAGCCTGACGTCAGTGCTGCCTGACGTGAAGGAGAAGGGTGGGCAGGCTCCTCTGTGAAGGGTACAGTCTGACTTAAGTAAGAAAGCTCTCATCGATATTTTATTCACGGTGATTTAGATGTGAGTCCGTCAGTGTCATTTTTGGTAAATCCTAGATTTTTCTGTGTTTAGAGACAGAACCCCCTCTGCCTTCCACAGCCCCACCCCAAACCCAGTGCCCTCAGTGGGTCCGTCGGGACAGCCTGCCACTGCGTGTCCGAGGTGGTCAGTCTTAATGAGGATGCCCGTCTTTCCCTCACGTGGATTTGAAGCACTGAGTCAGCAGTGAGCATTATGTTCTATGACCTGGCTGATAGAGGACCCACCAGCCTCCTGTCTCCGAACAACACAGACAGTGCGCTGAAATAGCCCTGTCAACAATCCACAGAATCTTCACCCCGGGAAGGGCTGCCTGTTGGGGCACCCTCAGCTCTAGGTGAAAGGCACTTGTCAGCGTGCGTTGTTTTTCTCACCACGTGTACGGAAACACGTGCTCTGCAGAGCACCTCAGGTGTGATGCCAGCAGAGTTTGGCAAAGTGCTTCCGTGCTTTTCAACTGAAGACCGTTGTGCTGCTTTCCCCACTCAGCGTTTAGAAGAGGGGACTTTTTAAAGGATGGTTCAACAGATCACGTGGCTGAACCCCCAAGTGGACAGTGGGTGGAGCAGGGGCCTCTGTGGGGGTTGTGGGCTCCTCCCAGCTCACTGCCCTTCCCAGTGTCGATGGTGCCCCTATCTGACCCACATGTCGCATGTGTAGGTGGGAAGCGTTTGGAAACCTGTGACGTGTAGAGCTGTTGGCCAAGGGGCCGGTGTTGGGTGCACCCTGAGGCGCCATGAAAGAAAGATTGTCCATCTGCTCGCATCAGCCCATGGGACAGTGTAGAACTTGGCTCTGCTTGGAAATGTGGGGGTCCTGAGTGGACATCAGCCCATGGACAGTGTAGAACTCAGCTCTGCTGGGAACGTGGGGGTCCTGAGTGGATGTCAGCCCATGGACAGTGTAGAACTTGGCTGTGCTTGGAAATGTGGGGGTCCTGAGTGGACATCAGCCCATGGACAGTATAGAACTCGGCTCTGCTGGGAACGTGGGGGTCCTGAGTGGACGTCAGCCCATGGACAGTGTAGAACTTGGCTGTAATTGGAAATGTGGGGGTCCTGAGTGGACGTCAGCCCATGGACA